GCGGCCTCGGCTTTACCCCGCTCACACTCAAGCTCGGCGCTGCAGCTGACCGGTGCCTGGGAGCCCCGATGTGGGGAAGAGGGAGCAGGAGGGGGCTGCACCTCCCCCCAGCCTGCCAAGCCCTCGAGGGCCCTGCAACACACATTTGGGGGCAAGAGGGAAGGGGGACAGACCCTGGGCTGTTCCTCCACGCAGGTTTGGCTACACCATTTTGTTCTCCAGCCAAAGCCCAGCGGTGATGCCAAGCCAACGCTATAAATCCTGCTTTGGAAACGCACTTTTCAGCAAGGAGGTGATTTGCCAACAACCTCCCAGCCGCTCTCTCCATCCATCCCTGGAGGGTGCTGGGTACCAGCAAAGCCCGTGGGAGTGGGGAGGCAGGCAGCAGGAGCCCTGGCTGGGCTGGAGGATGGGAAGGCTGCCCATGGCTGCCTGCAGGCATGGCTGATGGTGCACCGACACCGAGAAAGCAGCCCAGGCGCCGGGAACACCCTAACACCCGCTTTAATCTCGGCCCCGAGGTGGCTGGAGGCAGCTCAGAGCAGGGGGATGCGGGAGGGCTCCCAGAGGCGTCGGGCCAAGTCGCAGGCCTGCTGGACCACGAGCTCGGAGGGGATGATGCCCAGGTGCACAGTCAGCAACTCGTAGCACTTCACCACCTCTGCCTGGTGGTTCTTGCTGTAGTAACGCAGCAGTTTCCTGGGAAGGAGAAGACAGGGGGCTAGGCAGGCACAGCGCAGACTGACACCTCCTTTCTAAACAACCTCCCCTAGAAAATCCCTGGCAAGGACACAGTGCCCGTCCACCTGCAGGACCACAGCACCAAGCTGGGGAGATGTGCTGGTGCAGCCCCGGTGACACCACAGCACTGGTACCACCCTGCAATGACATCCTCGTGAGGACAGCATCGCTCATGGGGACCCCCGTGCCAGCACAGTCCCAGACCCCGGTTCCAAACCGCAGGGCTGGGGACTGCTCACCTGTAGTAGTCTCCTGCCAGCATCCCGATGGGAGCAGAGTCATCCGAGAGAATCGGCACCTCCATCACCTCCAGCTTGTAGCCCTGGGGAGAGACGACAGAAGAGGGCAGGAGCAAGGAGGGGACTACCGAGCAGCTGGAGCCTGCTGTGCCCACAGCCCTGCTCCCTGCCCCCAGAAAGTGCCGGGGGAGAGGGGCTCACCCCCTTCCCGGCCCCACGTACCAGCTCGTTCTCAAACCAGAGGAAGTAGGAGCACCATCCTGCAGCATGAGCTTCGTGTAACCCTTCTGTAGGTATCGCCGGGCCAACGAGATCAGGGACCAGACCTGGGGGACAAGGAGCACTTGAAGCCTGAGCAGAAAACCCTCCAACTGTCACCCCCTCCTGTGGTCCCCATCCCACCCCAGCCCCAGGGGCAGTACCTTCCTCTTGATGAAGGCGGCCAGGGGGCCCTTGCCCAGCTCGGAGCTGGACTTCTCTGTCATGCTGAGCGATGGTGCCATCATCTGCCCGGCTGTGCGGTCCACGTAGATGAAGTGCACCAGGCCAGGAAAGTCCTCCAGGTATGTGGTGTGGGTTAAGGGTGTCCAACAACTTTGGTGCCTTTCCAGGACAGCCCCTGAGCCTTGGGCAAACCGCTTTCACCCACCACACCCTCCCTTTGAGCCTGGTGCTGCGGGGACAGGGTCTCTTCTACCCCCCCCAGGGACCCCTCCTCGCCGGGCTGGGCTCCCAGTTGCAGAGATGGGTATGACACCATGGTGATATTGCGCCTGCTCTTCACCAGCAGAAAGTCCCGCCAGTCCAGCAGCTTCTCCCTGCCAAGAAGAGGGGCGGTGAGAGGCCGGGACGCCCCAAG